ATTTGGATCAGAAGAAACTGTCAGTGAGCAGAGTTTACTTTCAGAGACACGAAGGAACATTTCCAGGAGAGAAACTCACCTCCAGTCACAATAAGGTCAAAATCATAATACTGTAACCGTACACCAGGCATCTCCAAAAGACATCGGTACCGTCCTGTGTCTGACGTTTTCAGATTTCTGATGCTCACATTCATAATAGCAGTACCATCAGGAAAGCTTTGATAGTCAATGCCATATCTGCCTCTCTGAGCTCTGTTTCTTGTTGTGAAAACCAAAATATTTTTTCTACAGGTGTCCTTACAAAAGAACTTTGTTCTTCCTGCTATCAAAGCTTTACATCCAAATCTGATGTTTTCTCCTTCTTTTCTTCTAGCGGTTCTCACACCGTCTCCGGTCTGCAGAGCTGCTGAGAAGATAAACAATCAGTAATTACTGTGATATCCATAAATTTTATGAATTTAACTGAAGATGTCAGAAAAAATTAACATTGACTCCCATATTTCTAATTTTAATACATTCCCAAACTCTTCATTTTGCTAAACAACCTGGTTTCTTTGTTCCACCATGTACTTAAATCACTAACTGAGAAGCAAATCAAAACTTGTTTAAAAGCTAAAACATTAATATCATTGATTTATTTATTTTTTGCTGTTTTTGTTTCAAGTTCTCCAAATCAACAAACTCTGAAGTTTATACAACTGTACATTTATTTAAAACTAATTTTTAGCATTTCAACAATTTTCTGATGGTTAGTTTTCTGGTTTTGTGCTGAAATTATCTGATCATCAATACAGAAAAGAAATTAATTAGTGCAATTAGCAAAAAAAATGTGATTTGACAAGCTTTGCATAATTTAGTTGGCCTCACAATGAAACTTTTTATATTTAAAACGGATCATCAACATGTTTTACTACAGAACCAACAGAATGAAACAGATGAAACTAGTGAAACACACGGCTTAAAATCTTTTAACAAAGTTGGAGTTCTCTCTGATAAAATGTGAGGAACTGAAAGGATGAAGGACTGAGAGCACAGAAGATGATAGAAATAAATGTAAATGTACTCACTGAGGAAGAAGAGGCAGATCAAAGTGAGACAGACCTTCATCCTGAGCTGATGATGGTTTCAGTTTCTCTTCCTGCTTCACTGAAACCAGGAACTTCTCTGTAGGATGCAGTTCCTTCTCCGAACACCAGAGGGCGATACTACTTTTATTGCAGAGTTAAAGTTTCTGTAGATTATTTCTGATCAGATGAAAGTGTTTGTTTTCCTTCTAGCAATCTGTTGTTTTAATTAACAGACTTAATGTAACAAAGAGAAAAGCTTGTGTGTGTCTTTGTGTGAATTTTGATCAAAATTATTGTTGTGATGGTTGTAGGTGTTTATGAGATTTTTGGTCAATTCGTTTGTTTGGAGCCACCTAGTGGTGTGATGAGTGACTGCATGCAACGGGTCCGTCAGGCACTCTCGCGGCTTCCCCCACCTACCTCCACCAGCTGAGGAGCGCTGCTGGAGGTAGGTGGGGGAGAGGCAGGTATTCACTTCTTTTTTTACTTAGGGTCATATTTTTCTAGTTCAACAAATAACGAAATACTGTAAGAATATTTAACATTTACAAATATAATTTGTAAAGTTTTCTCGTGGTTGGGCTGGAAAAATGTGACCCTATGAGTGGGAGCTGGGCCGGTGGCTGACCACTCGGTCACGGCGCTAAATGTGTCTTTTACTTTTCAGCATGTCGGTCCACTGGCTGCAGACAGTCACATTGTGAGGAGTTTTTCGTTCCTTGTTGTGCTAGGTGGATTCAAACTGTGAATTTGTTGATATATATATGTAGAAAAATGTTTTGTGAGTGTTTTGACTGTTAACTGCTGTAACAGCTGTCTGTTATTTTTACTGTTTTTGCTGTTAGTGTTATTTTTGATTGATTCATTGAAGAAGAATGTTTTGTTTTGTTTTTGGAAATTTGTTATTATTATTATTATTATTATTATTATTATTATTATTATTATTATTATTATTATTATTATTATTA